AGCAGGGGCCCAGCAGCCGTGATGCTCAGATAGGGACAAGCACCACGTGGTGTGGGCTCTGCACAGCCCTCTGTGCTCAGCTGGTGGCTGGGAGGCCGGGCTAGGTGAGGGGTGTGGTGCAGGCACAGAGGCTATGAGGTGGGGCTAGTGCTGGGGGGCTCTGAGGGTGGGGGGGCTCTAAGAGGCAGCGGGGGCTGCCACTGAGGAGCACTGTGACATCCAGGATGGGGAGCTGGCACTGGAGGGCTCTGGGGGTGAGGCAAGGCTGGCACTGGGGACAAGGCTAATATTGGGGGCTGGCATAGAGGTACCTAGGGGGCTTGGGTGCAGTGGGGCTCTGGAAACAGGAGGCTGGCACCAGGGAACTCTGAGGGCGAGAGGCTGGTACTGGGGGGCTGAGTGCAGGGGACTCTGGGGTCAGTGACTGGCACTGGAGGGTAGTGGAGGGGTGAGGGGCTCAATGGGATAGGCCTGGCACTGGGCTTTTTATACCAGGAACCAGCAAACCCATTCACAAATGAATATGCAAATAAAATGATACCAGACTGCCAAAAGTTTGTGAATGGGTTTGCCAGTCCCTGGTATAAAAACGGTTAGGAACCACTTCCCTAATGCACCTCTTTTATGGAGACCTATTAAGCATTTTAACCAAGGACACTGCGGTGATATCTATGACCTTACAAGGAAATAAGGTGCTAACTCTTCCCTTCTTACTCTGGCGGGGATGGAACTTGGGCCTTGTGGAGCACAGTTGCCATGGAAGGTCACGGTTGCCAGGAGACACGTGATTCAGCATTCAATGGAGCAAGCAGACCATGGGGTAACATTTCTTCTCTTTGACATACATTAGAAAACCGGCTACTGTGTCTAGATTAGTTGGAGTTATTTCCAGGGCTCCAAGGTGTGCGGTATAGAAAAAGCGTTAGTTCACAGGGCTGTCTGTCTGGCACTTTTCACAGGCCCTAAATTCACTTTTTAAAAAAAAAAAAAGAATAAATGAATGCCCCATCACAGTAGGACTGATATAACAAACCACAAGACCCAGGGCTTGTCTATACGTAAAATGCTACAGCCAACACCACTGTAGCCCTGCTGCTGTAGTGCTTCAGTGGAGACACTATTTATGCCGATGGGAGGGATTTTTCCATCAGTACAGGTAACCCACATCTGCAAAAGGCAGTAGATACGACAATGGAAGAATTTTTCCACTGCCCCCGCACTGTCTACTTGGAGACTTTTGTCATCTTACCACTCGTGTGTGGATTTTTTCATATCTCTGACTAATGTAGTTAAACCAACCTAATTTTCTAGGGTAGACCAGGCCTTAAGTCTTAATTGATGCATTAAAGATCTAAATACTGTATCGGGTGCTCATGGAAAGTTTTTACTTAAATAGGAAGCATTTACTAATTTTGAAAACGCTTCTAATTAACTGAAGTGCACATCATGCACTTTTTTTTTTGGCAGACTCTACAGCCTAGTGTATTTGCACAGCTCAATGGCCCAGTGCTTCTAGTGCATGGAAGATAAGAGCTATAGATTCAAAAAAAGCTTTGTGCTTCTCATATAGAGGAGTCTGAGATTTTGTCTAAGTAAGATCGACCATCTGGGCTGTCCAAATCACTAGCCTTTTCCATTTCCCCTCTCATTACATGTGCAGGGATGTAAATACCAAGCTAGCAATCCCTGGGACCTTAGGACAACAACTGTAAGCTCTTTGGGGCATGGATGTGTGTGCCCGTTCAGTGACTGTACAATGGGGTGCTGACGTGCTCCTGGGATTCTAGGTGATACCGTAATTCCAAGGATACACAACGATAAGCAGCAGCCGGAGCTGCTGCCCAGGGGAGCTTGCAGGCTACACTGCTACCGCATGGAAGTTATTCAGCCTGTAAGGGGTTTTGTTTCCCACTCTCTCAAGCAAGTGTAGAGAACTAGCAAGGGAGGCAGAGGCAGCTACCGAACTCCATCCCCACTGCAAGAGGTGACTGCTGCGGCTTCTGAGTGCAGAAGGTGATCACGCTCCGTCTTTCAATATGCCTGCTCATTGGTCCCCATTCCATTCCTAGTCCATACAGTGATCATGGTGCAAACCAATGTAGGAGCAACACATGTCAGGTGTTAACCACCTGTCCTCCAAGGGGAGCAGCAGGGAGCGTTTGCCAACAACAGATTTGGCAAGAGGTCAGGGTGAACAACGAGCAGACGTGAAGCTACTTAGAGAAAATATCATCAGAGAAGGATGTTCATTATTCTGGTCAGAGAATGGAGCGAAAGTAGAGCTGTGAATTACAATGAACAGAGACTAAATAGCTGCCTGTGTAGGATTAAAGGATTTAAATTATCATCTTGATGTATAATGAATGTGAAAACCCAGCACTTAATTAAATGGCACATGATAGAATAACTTTGTCATGCTTTAAACTGCTTAAGTTATCAAAGTATTTCTTAGATTTCGCAATTGTTTAGCAGTATCCCTCACCCCCATGATGTTTGCTAAGATGTCGTTCAATTAGCCTCAGTTCAGGCTTTGAAAGCAGATTATAGAATAAAAAAAGTGACTCCCTCTTTTGCAAACACCATTAGCAAAATCACGGGAACAATGCACTGGTACTCACTCTCAGGAGGAAGTCCTCAGATGCTGCTGTGACCCACTGATGTGCTACAGAGGCTCTGAGGAGCCCCCTTGTCAAAATGCAGCCACCACACGGAAAGGAGGATGGGGCCAGGATTTAGTCCCATGCTCCCCTGGGATTAGCACTAAAGATGTCTTGTGTGAAGGATCACAGAAATGGGTTGGGAACGCCACATGCCCCACAGGCAGGTTTTGCCTGCTCTCACTTTCCCAGCAGAGCCAATCCAGTCTCCGGCTTGTTGCTTTAGGAAACAGATCAGCAATGGGGGAAAAAGCTGTTCTGTACATGCGGTTAAACGTAGGAAGCCACTGCACCTTGAGAACAGTTCACATACAAGGCATGTGCAGCAGAAAAAAAGCAAGACTTCCTTTGTTTTCATCAGAGTTAGACCCAACTGCTTGGCCTGAGGAGCAGATCGAAATGATTCACCTGCCTCCGTGCACAGAGAGAACCGTAAGAGTTGAAACACACGAGTCAGTTCTCCAGAAGCACGAAAGCAGCCCCATCATGCGTCACTAACGTCCCACTGTCAAATGGTCTTTCTGCTGTTTATCAAGGCCATACCAGGGCACAGAATGGATGGGAACTCTGACAGTGGCCCAATCAGAGGTCACCCGATCCAACCAAATCTGGCTGGATACACATATAGCACAACCAAAGACAAAAATACTTACAGCTACTGCTATTCTTCCCAGTACATGCTCTGGAATTTTTCTATAAACATCCAAAGAGCCGCCTGTAGGGACAGACACAGGAAGTGTGATTAGTTAATATAAAATCAAATACTTCCCTGGATTTAAAGGTTTTCTAGCCCTTTGGTTATAAATAAAAACGTCCTAAACAACATGACAGTAATAGTGTCAGAAGTAACTGACCGTAAACAACATTCGTTCCCTGAACACACATAGGAGACAGAGCTCTCGACATCTCCTTCCTTCCCATGTTTGCAAAGATATTGCTAGAGTTGTTTCAGAATACATCCATCTTGCAGGTTAGAAAGATAGGACTGAACAAGGTTTGGTGCACTTTAATTCATTACTGAGTAGCAGAAAGACTTCAGAAGAATTACAACCGATTACAAAGTCAAAATCATCATTAACACCTTGTCACAAACAAGCATGTACAATTGATGAGGGATGTGAAAGTGGAACCATGTACACAGTTCCTCCACGGTTACACACAGGCTCCTGGCTTTTAAAGTGGCTCCCGGCGCACACTGACCCCCTGCATGTAACTGCTTGATTAAAGGCATTTTAACATCCCTAAAAGTGAGGTTATCAATAACTATCGGTCTCTAGCACAGCGAAACGAGCTCCTGAAATCAACCTTCCCTGAAGATCAAGCAGTGAAGGATTTATTGTGTGTCAAAGTCACAACCCTGAACTGCCCAGAGGTGTAAGAGAAAGAGCTTCTGGTCACACAGAGAAAGCTTCTGCTGGTAGCTTCTTTATGGAGTACGATTTCCTACCCACTCACAGTTCAATATGGCCAGGCATATGTGGAGAAGATGGGGAACTGGTTCCTAACGGAGTGCCAGGATCTCCAGGAGACAGGGAAGCACACCTTACACTAACCTAACTCTTCTATTTGATTACTAGCAGATTTCCCAGCAATGCTCAGGTTCTTAACTTTTTCTTTTTTTTTTGGAAACCAAAAAGAAAAATGTACATACTTTATTGAAATGATTGCATTTTTCAAAAATACAGTGTTATAGTTATGAAGCTAATTTTAGTAAAAAAAAAAATTAAAAAAGGAATTTCATGAAGTGTATTTTTTCTGCATCCCTATAACTCTTATCATTTGCTATGTTTCAACAAAAAAGGGCCATTGAAAATTTGGATTCCAATAAAATTGACTTCTAGCTTTCAAACATTAAGTATTGATTTAGCGGCGCCAAAACAGAGCACTACTCCAAATTTCTCTGTTTTATCTCTTTTCTGTAATGTTTATTAAGAAACAACCCAATTCCAGGTTCATCCAATGATTCTGGCTAATCTTTTTTCAGTCTCTTTCAACATTGGCTCAGTTATGTCAGTTTTAGGGACTGGACTCAATTTGGTGATTTCGTCTTTTTTCTGTTTGGTTTTAGGAGAAGCAATCCCATTCCAGGCACATCCTGTTTCCCTGGAACAACCAAACCTTTTCAGAATGTAGAAGAGATGAATAGAGGGGGTGATTTCCTAGCTTGTAAGAGTGTAAATCAAAGCATAAAACAGAGAGGAATTTTCAGATTTGGTAGGGATTGATTCCATCAAAGTGAATGTGGTTTTACCAAACAGACTCCACCTTGAGCAGAGGTAAGCCAACACTGAGAAATTTTGAAAATCCCACCCTTTGCACATGTTTATGATCAAGTTAAAAAAAATCATAAAAGACATTCTTGGGAGTCCAGAGAACAATCACAGGATCTGGACTCCCAATCCATTCTGCAACTGAGAGTCATTGTGACTAATAGTTCATCTAAAGAGCTCCTCCATTTTCTTCACGGTCTCCATCTTTGGATTTGTGCCAGTCCCCATGTATACTGCTATACCTCATTTCCTTCAGGAGACAAGGTGGGTGAAGGAATAACTTGAATTGGACAGAGCGCATACGCTCGAAAGCTGGTCTCTCTCAGCAACGGAAGTCGGCGCAACAAAAGATATTGCCTCATCCACCTCGTTTCTCTAACATCCTGGGACCAACACAGCCACCGCATTGTTTTCTTAAAATCATTTTTATTTGTGTTAAGTTTTGTTTTTAAATGCAGAATGCCTATGCTCGAGGCATTAGACTGGGCTCAAATTTTTACAGTGAATTTAGGTGGGCTTTTACACAGCGTGATGAACAATCACGCAGCTTCACAAGTCTACTGAACACCAAACAAGAGCAAATGTCAGGACAACCAGGTAGCCAGCTGTGGCCTGAGCTAGAGCTGGAGCAAGGAAAAGAACAGTCTGTCAGAGCTACCAGACAGTAGAGAGCATCCACAACAAGGTGTCGACATTGAACAGACTGGAATGGCTACTTTCATTAGGAGTCTATATGCCTCAGGTAATCATCTCAAATGACATCGGGCTCAGCGCACTGGAAAAGACTCAGGCGTAGGGGTGAATAGCCAGAGTTAGAGCACTTATCATGTAAGAGGAAGGCTGCTCACAGCCTCAGAGCACTCTTGTTCACGAGCCTACGTTGCAGTGTTTGTTCACCTCTGCACAAAAATGGTCTCACACACATTAGAAGCCGTCAAGTCTTGAGCTTAAAATATGAATAGTTTGAGTCCAGACTTTGCAGGGGAAGAAATCAAAGGGCACTGATCTTCGAATATCCAGACAGCTTTGCTGCGCAAAGCAAACAGTGGACAAAAATTGTGGTCCATGTTCAAAACTGGGAGCTTAAAGTTAGGCTTGTAAATCCAAATGTAGGCACCTAAACAAACATGCCCCATGTCATGCACCTCCCACGGTTTAGGAAAATTGGCTTCTGAATAGGGCTAGGCATAACTCAATGACACTTTATGCAAAATGCGTCATGGAATATATCCATTTTAATGTTACAATCTGCTGAATCTGTATATCCTATTTTTGCGCATGTATCGTTCTTGTATGTGAAGTTAGAAAGATGAAGTGCAGTGCCGTTGATTGTTCTAAATGTGCTGAGGGCCATTACCGATAGCCCAGAAACTTAATTCAGTACTCAAACCAATGGCCTGTGAATAATCTTATTTGCCCTTTTAGCCCAAATTGTGGCTGGTCCCAGAAAGACATGAGACCATGCCACCTTGTACCAGGTTCAAGATGAATTCCAGTATTTTTCCATAGAATTGGAGGGGGGCACCAAACAGAGGATTCCCATCTGGGGGAAAGTCTATTTAAGCAATGAGAAGGAATCAGCCTTTGTCTTCAACTGGCCTTTGAAACTGCCTGGCTCATCCTAAGACAATACAAAGAACATTGTAGAAACTGTAAACACAGCCAGAGTAAAGATCAACTCTGACTTGAAGCTCCTTCCCGTGATAAGAACAGCTGTTCAGGGTAAGAATTTTCAAGTAACAAATTTCTTAGTGGACTAGAACAAAGCGTTTTTTGTTCAATTTAATTTAGTAATTTACTTTGATCTGAGTGTTTTCACTTGCAACCACTTAAATCCTGCATTTTACACTTAATAAAACACTTTTCTTTATTAATCAACTCTGACTTGAAGCTCCTTCCCGTGATAAGAACAGCTGTTCAGGGTAAGAATTTTCAAGTAACAAATTTCTTAGTGGACTAGAACAAAGCGTTTTTTGTTCAATTTAATTTAGTAATTTACTTTGATCTGAGTGTTTTCACTTGCAACCACTTAAATCCTGCATTTTACACTTAATAAAACACTTTTCTTTATTATCCAGCCTAGTGTAAATAACAGCTGGAGGGGGGGGGGGGGGGGGGGGTAGGGAGGAGAGGGGAGCAACCACTGTGCATATCTCTTTTTCACTGATAAAGTAGGGGGGCATTATCAGTTTTCACCGTGTAAAATTTGTACACAGGGTAAGATGGATTTGTTTGGGGATTTGGCCCCTTTTGGGGGTTGGTTTCCTGGGTGCTAAGTTCTTACAGCTGAGCTCTCCCGGACAGTGTTTGTGTTGCTCTGCAGGGGGAGGTAACTCCAACTCTGCACCTTGCATGGGGGAGACCAGAGGATCTGGCCCAGCAGGACAGGCTGGTGGGGAGACCCAGAGAGCAGGAAGGTAGGCATTATGGGCATGATCAGTACACGAGGGGACAATTCTAAGAGGTCTTCTGTGATTCACCCTGTCACAGACTGATCTTTAAAGATGCTGAGAATTTGCAGCTTCCATCAACTTCAATGGAATTTGTGGGTACTCTGCACTTGCAAAGAGAAGACAGCAATAATTAAAACAATCCAACAATCTGTTTCACCATCTTTATTTAGTAAAACAGCATTTTTATTACACTTGTAAAAGTGAAAAGGCAAATAAACCTCGTTTTATGTTCCCGTTGATCATGAAGATCCATTGGCAGGTGCCAGGATGAGATTACAATTCATGCAGTTTTCTTGGCTTTCAAGTCCATCAGAGGAGAACCAATATAATACAACTGTGGGTGTGTTTTACGCTGCATCCCCTTAATATATAAGTATCCCCAAACATATAGATGCAATGGGCTGAGCTAACCGTAGAGATTCATCTGTGATGAGCTACTCCACAAAGGAGGTATTTGTTCACGCATCCATCCATAGAACTCACCCCCAGAGGACAATTTTGAGACAAAGTTCAACGGGATTTTTTAAAGAGGAGACTGGTAGCAACTACTCCAAAGACAGAAGGCTGATCAAAAATAGTCACTAGGTGTTAAAAAGTGTCAGGCTTAAGTGCTATTCACTTGCACCGGCTAGGCGATAAAAGTTTCTATCTTCACCTACAGCCCTACACATCCATAACAAAAGTTCTGAACAAAAGTTTTGACAAAGTCCCATTACGTTAAGTTTTGTTCTTCCTTGGCATTACTGTTTATAGGTCACTGTCAGGGGGAATGCACACTGCATTAGTTGGACCAGAATTCTTTTCCAATATGATTCAAAGTACCTTTTGAATGGTCAGTAAATACCTGTGCTGTATAATATCATGAAATATGCACATCTTAAAGCCCTAGGGATGACCCGACCTGGGACTAGAGCTCACGACCCCGTGCTTCCCAGGCGAGTGCCCTATCCGCTAGGCCACATGGGAACCCGCACCACCACCTTGCCGTCAGGGCGCCCTTTATCCCTCCAGCCCCGGGGACGACCCGACCCAACCTGACAACCCCTGAATTATACAAGAATTCAGACTGGCAGAGATTTACAAGCAGGTACTTCTGTCACTTTTTAATTTGCCTGAGTGCACTCAGATCCTGATCTTCAGACTGTAGGCAGAGGTGTATTGTAGCATTTCCAAATATTTCCCTACTTGGTGTGCCCATCATGTGACATGCACGCGTAAATACCAATTTGTACACAAATTTCCAGCAGCATGTTCCGTATGCCTGAGTTCATTAACGAGAGCACAGATATTGAAAACCACATGCATTGAGTAATGTTTGTATAGTACAAGAACATAAA